TCCTTCTGTGGCTTATCCATGCCACCGTTTTCCTTCCTTAGCCTAGAAAATCAAGAATTAACCACAAAAGCAGAATGCTGGGGAGGTACCTCTGCACCGTAAATGCTGGGAAAAGTCTCAAACAACTACCTTTCTTTGGGGTCTACTGCGTGATGTCGCTTTGATATTCTTCCACCGGAGAAGCCTCTACTCTCAGTGGCCTGTCTTGACAGAGCGGAATGCGGTGTACTTGGCAAGACTGAGCAGCTCAGGGGCGGTAACCGTCCTCATAGTCCTCGGGAATAGTCCCCCAATGCCTCAGGCACAGTTAAAAGTCGATTGAATTGAAGAATACACAGAGGCTGTTTCCATGATCTTTTCCAGCTCATTACAGGCATTGGTATGATAGAGTCTCTTACAGCGCACATCTAAACATCTTAGCAGGAGAGGTAAGGGAAAAGTGCCCCCGTCTGCCTCAAACTCAACTCCCCAGTGTTCATCCCAATGAATATTCCAGCCTAAGAAATGCTGGGCACAGAACCACTTCTCTTTTTAAGAGAAGTCTTGCTAACCTGGGTCACCTCTGTCTGTGTAGGCATTCACAGATAATGACATGTAACCTTCCAACTTAGGTAGCGTGATTTATTCTTCTTCTCTAGCACTCTAGTGGAAACTGAAGTACGAGCAGTGGGGAAGGTATAGAAAATGAAATGCATGGAAATCCAAGAGTCTATCTAATGCACTAATTTCTGTCAGCTACCTAAATCTTCTGTTATCTGTAGTAAGAGGCTTCTTTGCCAAGTACCCTTGAAAGGGCTCAGTCTAATAGAAAGCTAATCTCATGTGATAGGCAACCCACTGCTTAAAGTATTGCATCGGTAGGCTGTCTATCTGGATCTTCCTAGGGACATCATTTGTCTTGTATTTTAAGACCTTCTCAATTTATCTGTATCAACGAGGGAAAACGGGAATGGAGATAATAGCCAATAGCAGCCGCTTTATTTTCCTTCCCGATAAAGACGTCCTGGGTTTTCATTTTGACAGCTTAAAACAGAAATTCAATCATTTAAAGGTCAAAGGAGTAGTAGACATTATCCCAGGAGTTCCTGATCTATGAGCAAATTACATCTGTGAGATCAAAGATGCCCAGAAGATTGAACAGACCAATAAATAGACTGTCTGTAATTGCCAAAAGGACAGTTTGCAGGCGGTTCTCACAAAATGGGAAAATAACAACAGAGAGATAGGACTTGGTTTTCTGTTGGAATACTATACATACCAAACTTGGAGAAGGTCAAACACGACAGCCTCTACACTTTCCATAAAATATGTTTGCTCTGGAATGAACAGTTAAGTTCAACCCGAGGAGCTCCCAAACCAAAGTACACAGGAGCTATGCAAGGCCAGTCGTAGGTAACCTGGCACTTAGAAGGCAAAGTGGGTGACTAGTACACAATAAGATCTATTCCTAGTGATACTGTGGTTCTTCCGGCAGCTCTGCCATGGCTCTTTGAAGGATATATCAGGGCAGTTAGGTGCTAGAAGGGACTTTAAAACAAGTCTGGAAATTGCCAGCCTCGTGATTCTTAGAGGAAAAAAAAAAATGGTAGGTAACTCTCAACCTCTCTCCCTCACTCTTTCTGTCTCCTCGTTGGGATCCATACTTGAACCGACTGTAGTCACAGCTACAAGCACTGCAGTTTAACTACTCCTTAAATACCGAAGACTGTGGAAGGAGCTTTGGGAACATGGCTCATTTACTCGCCCTAGCAACCTATGACCTGCCTTTTTTCATAAGGGCAAGCAGAGGCTCAGAGACTAACACGCAGGGGGCACAGTCTTACTAGCGATCGAGCAAGCCTCTGAACTCAAGTTCATGTCTGTTAGAACCCATCTTCTCCATTCTTGAAGCTTCAACATGGTGGATCTCCATCTTGAGGATATATGAGAATCAACAGGGGAGTTGGGCAGGGGAATAAATCACAATGATTGGGGGGGGATCCAAAGATCTGGAGGTATAAACGTGTTCCCCTAGGATCTCAGAAGCAGGTTGTAGTAGACTGCACTTTCCAAAAACACTCTACTGCTTGCAGGGATATCTGAATGAGGTTTCGGAGTTCATGAATAAGAATTATGAAGAACTGGCTAGGGCCAGCTCTTTAGGCAAATCTACATCATAAATATCTAATTGCCTTCTTCAAATGCATCCATTTCTAAAGATCGTTTCCCTGTGTCTTAAAAGTCCATCAACATAGACCTTAAAGTAGTTAAGTTGCAAAATAGCACAATTTTTAATATTTTCTTTCCAAAGTGATTGCAAATATTAGGATAAAAGAAAGATTCTTAAAACAGACTTTGGTATACCAAGCCAAGAAGCAAAGGCATTAGCAGTTTAATAGGTTTTGGAATGGGGAAGGGAGACGAGAGGGCACTGAGGGAGAAGAACCGCATTCGATGCTTGTTGAATCTGAACTCTGCTTTATGTAGCCCTGAATTGTGACCAGCTGCTTTCATGATTTCTCCAATTGGTCTCCAGCGGCCAGCTCTGACCCAGCTCCCTCTTCCCCCACTTCCTTGTTTTAAATGAGATCTGGTTTTACTTAGATGAATTAAATGTCACTATATTTGTTTCTGTGGATTGTTCCAGCAAAAATTACAGCATCAGTGTCTGACTTTAAATGTCTCTAAGACTGTCTGCTTCTCTGGGCTATTTATAGCTGCCTTTTAAACACGCTAATAAATGCTTTTAGGTAGCCATTGGTCTGCTCCCCCTTGATGGAGCCTCGGAATCGGTACACTTCCAAGTACCAGCTGAAAATACCTGTTTTTCTCTTCTTTGCAAAAGTAATGCATGTTCATTGTAAAATTTTTGAAATTGTAAATAGACAAATAGAAGAAAAGGGGGGAGAAAAAAAAACGATCATACCAGAGAGGGCCACAATTCACATTTTGTTTCTATCATTCTGTCTTTTCTCCATGTTTAAATGTATTTAAACTTAAAAAATTATATTGTACAAGCTGTTTTATAGTCCTCTTTCATTTTTTCCACCAAACAATATGTTTTCTATTTTTTCTGGCATTCTTCTACTCTCTCACATTTAATGACTACATTAAATATGATGAGTAATGATATGATTGTACCATTACCTATGAAACAATCCCACATTTATTAGGTGGCTAAGCCGTAGCCAAAACTTGCTACTACAAATAGCCCTACAAATTAGCCAAGTCTCTCTGCTCATTCACGATCGTTTCTTTAGGATAAATTTCTACACGCGGAGTTGCTAGATCAGAAGCCGAACCAAATTCATAGACTTTAGCCACATGTACCCAACTCACCTCCAGAAATAGTTCAAATTAAATAAATAAATATAATATAATGTAATATTATATCTTTGAAATGGCAGTATAATAACATGCATTCCTCTTAGGAGAACCACATATCTAATAATTCAATCATCATTTTAACAAATTTTATTAAACACTTTTTAGTGCCAGGCATTTATTTTTTCAACTCCAGATTTCCAGAGAGTTCTGCAGCATAGTTACACATAGTTACCATGCTAAAAATTGTCAGTTCTAGGGAAGCCGCTAAGCAAAAGTGGACAGAAAGACTTTTGTTTTTTTTTTTTAAAACTATGTATGAACTGGCAGCTAGGACAGGAGAGAGGCAAGGTAAATGGAAGCAGTTGAGAGCTGGTGTTTGGAGAACTGGCAGGGTTGATGGTTTTATGGATCTAGGAATGATGATTCTCTTGCTAGGACTGAAACCTCCTTGAGGATATTGCATTGTTTAATTCGTCTTATTCAATTATTTGTTAGTTCACTCCTTCAAAGTCTAATTAGTGAGGGTCCACATGCTGCTTCTCTCTAGCTGCTGGGGATACAGTGGTAAATAGGACGAGGAGAGCTTTTCTCAAGGAATTTACAATCTATTCTGTGGGGCAGCCCAGCCAACAAACAAACAAATCCATCAGTTAGAGGTAAGCATTTTGAAATAAATAAATCACGTTAACGAGACAAAATAACAGTATGGGGGCGAGTTTTACTTTATATCCTCATCAGACAAGACCTCTCTGGAAAGGTGGCCTTACAGATGAGACATCAGTGATGATAAGAAGCCACACAGGCAGAAAAGGAAGTGCAAAGGCCCTGGGGCAGGAACACCCTTACTTGTTAGAGTAGAGCTTAGCAAACTTTTTCTGTAGAACACCAGAGAGTAAATATTGTCGGCCTTGTGGAGCACATGGTCTCTGTTGCAACTACCGGGGTCTACAGGGGAAACGTGGCAGTAAGGAGCCATAGGCCATGAATAAGCAATGGTCTGAATGTGTTTCAGTCAAAGTTTATTTACAAAACAACCGAAGAGTTGGACGTGCCCCATGGACTGTAGTTTTCTGCCCCCTGCGTTAGTGAAAAAGGGAGATTTGATAAGGAGAGAGAGTGAATGGTGAGAAGACTGGGAGATAATTTTCAGAGATGGGCAGGGGTCAGATATATACAATCTGTATACAACACTGATTATGCACATTACTCTAATTGCAATGGGAAGACATTGGATGGTTTTAAGTAGAGGAGTGACATGTTTTGATTTTATTTTTAAAAGGAGTAGATCCAAGTACAGTAAGGGCAGAAAGAGGGGATCTCGTAGGAAGCTGTTGCTGTGGGTCCATTGAAGACCTGGTCCATTAAAGACATGGTGGTTTTGACAATGATGAGAAGTGAGTAGTTTTAAGATCTGCTTTGAAGGTGAGCCCACAGGACTTGCTGCTCATGTCCATAATGGGAGTAAAGGAGAGTGAGAGACCAGCACTCTTGCATACAGGAGATGCTTTTAAAACGTAAATTAAACTGAATTGTAACTGAGTGCTTTCTGTTTCAAGAAACAAAAGCGATCCCTTGTTAATACAAGCAGAAGAAAATATTATTGAAAAGATGTCAGGTAGCTTACAGCATCAAGGGAAGTATGAAGAGAAAGACCCTGATCTGAGCAAGATCAAGAGGCCAAATGAAGATCTAACCTCAGGAACTGTCTCCCTGGAAGCCACGGCTTGTGTCTTTCTCTGGGTGACTGAGATGTGCACCATCACACCACTGGCCTCTTGACTCTTGGTAGTTGCCTGGAATCATAGGATTCAGCATGCTTCTGTCACGTCCTCAGGAATCAAAGTCTTGTTTGTGAAGTTCTGATTGGTCGGTCCAAGTTCCCGTGACCCTCGTCCAGGTGTGGGGTGGGGAAAGGCTGTAGTGAGAAGTGGCTTCTGCCTTACCTTCCCATGTTTGCTTTGAAATTTCTCCAACCAATTTTCCGTGGCACAGCCAGAGTGATCTTTTAAAAATGCAAGCCTTGTCATGCTGTGCCCTTGGTTAGGACACTTTAATTGCTTCCACTGCTCTTGGAAGAAAGACCCAAATCTTTAATTCTACCTAGTAGGTCATTTATGCTCTGTCTCTATCTCTCTCTCCAGCTTCAAATCCCCGACCCTACCACCACTCCACCCCCTGCCTCGTATTCAGTTCTTTGGAAAGCACACCCTACTCATCTCTGAGTCACGGAGCCTCTGCAAATGCTGTTCTTCTGCCTGGGAACCTCGTTTTCCCTTTCCTCTTAGACTTGTCCTCATTGTTCAGATTGTAATCCAGACATCCATCTCTCCCAGACTCCATCAGGACCCAGGATTATAAGCTATTGCGAGAAACAGAGGAGAAACGTTCGTTCAAATTAAGGGTTAAAGGAAGATTATAAGGACAGCTTCCAAGGTGGTAGCCATTGTAGCCTTTTATATTATGCCATTCATTCCTTACAAAAACATTTTGAAATAAGTCAGCTATTGTCCTTATGTTTTAAATAAACACAATGCGGCTTAAAGATATTTGTTAAGATGCAGATATCATACAACTAAGATGTGGTAGAACCGTAACTGGAATCCAAATCTTTGATCTCCATTTTCCTGCCTTTTAACCGCGCTACTGGAGGACCATGTTGTGTAACTTGGACTGTGCCCCGTGGTAACAGGAGAAGGATATTTACATTTCAGAAATACCACGCGGGATGAAAGTGGCAAGAGATGGGTTAGCAGGCTGTTAGGTAAACCAGGTAAAACCAGGTTCTTAACTGATCAGGAAAGCTTGAATTCAGTGATAAAATGCAGATGAGTTCCTGTAATGATAGGTTCTTGTGAGAACCAGGCCTTAAGATTAGCTGAGCACAAAGGATGCAGCAGCCACACGGCACCTATCAACAGTGAGAGCCTTGACGAGAGCGCCGCAAACAAACGAAAATAGGGCAGCAAGGCGTGAGCTGAGAGCATTTTTACCCACAGCGAGAGCCAGGAGAATTGAAGAGCATCTCTCAGCTCCAATGTCGGGTCCCGGACCCAGCTCTCTCCCGTCACCCTCGTGAAATGGTACCATCGCCTCTGGTTTCAGACACTCTCCGACTTCGTACTTCATTTTGCTTTTCTCCTTGGTGTTTACGCCACGGTCTGGGTGATGATCTCCTTTTATTTATCGATGCCCAACTCTCAAATGCCGATCCCACGAGGGTGGGACTCTTCACTGATTCCTGAAGGTGGGTAGCTCTAGCACATATAGAAGCTCAAATTTTTTTAAAATGAAAAAAAAAAGAAGAAGAAGAATGAAAACAGTCAGTCACTAATTCTCCACTGGAGGATTTTAGAGACCACTGGGGAAGTGCTGTCCTTACACAATCAGGGGAAATTGAACTGTGGTCTCTTAGAGAGATGTTAAGATCTCATGATATCCAGCCTCTGCGTGAAGCCGGGTCCCGCTCAAGGTAAACTCTGAGCGACGGGGGCTGACGTCCAACCAAGACAGGGACGGGCAGGCTGATTTGCAAGATAAGAACAAGAGAAACCTTAAGAGCTGTCTCAGTAAAGCAGGTACATACCAGTTAAGACAAAGAATAAGTATGATAAGCGCCTTGTGAATTTCTTTAACCTGTTAACTTTGCCGAGCTTGTCACTCTTGTTTCCTTTAGGTTGGTTCCTCAGATTAAATAGCAAAAAAATTCTTAACGTGAGCTGGAAGTGTATGTATCGTGCACCTAAGAGTGTATGTGTGTGTTGAGAACAAGGACTAGGGGATTTTCCATTTGGTAACAGTTGTGAAAGAGAAAAGCCCCTGGGGTTTGGGGGAAGTGGTGAAAGGACAGAGAAGTGGCCCAGGTGGCTTAATGGTAGGAAATAGTGGTGACATCCGTATTTATTGGGAACCACGTGCTGTCTGCCCTGCTGTTATGCAACTGGGAAGCTCTCTGAGAAAGTTAAAGCATGTGCTCTGGTATTTTACAGAAGGGGCAACAGTGCTCATGCGATCCAGATTCAGGAGATAATTACTGAATAACTGATGTGAGCCCAGCACGGTGCAAGACGGCTGCCCATCCCTATCTCGTTCAAACCTCGCGATAACTCAGTAGCCTCGGTAACCCCAGGTCACCCTTAAAGACGCTGAGGTTCAGAGAAATGTTACGCACATCAGCCACTCGCGATGAAGAGGACAGATCTGGACCTGGAGTCTACCTCCCATGCATGATTTCTCTACAGTACCAAAAACACATTTTATTTCAGGCTATTTCTTAATAATGAGGTTATTCTCTTTCTAAACCAGAACAACCGGCTATTACAACTCATATTATTTTGGTACTGTCCTGACATCCAGAAAATGGAGAAACAGAATCCCAGGCTTCAAATTTCTTCTACTTCTTTATAAAACACAGCATCCTCTGGGGTGAGGCGGAATTTACATAGGTGATACATATTACTTAGCGGAAAACGGGGCTGCAACAAGGATCTCCAGATAAAGTTACGAGTAATATTGTCAGGCTGGATTTCTGCTGCTTCCCAGCATCTACTTCAGTTGGTTGATAACATATTATAAGTTCCTTTCCTATGATGAAACCCCTCTATTCCATAAACTGGCACAAATCTTTCTAAATTGATTCAGAAGGAGAAACTGCAAGGTTATGTCAGGGAAGAGGTAAAATCCATGGTCACCGAGAAGTTGGACCAGGGATGGAGGGTGGGGCTGGGAGGGAGGAAACGGAGAGGGAACAAAAGCTATAGGTGAAGCCACAGGCTGCTGGGGGCGGGGGGGGGGGGTGACAGCAGCTGAGAAGGAAACGTGAGACACCATGGACCTGTCAACAAAGGAGAGACTGTTTGAAATCAGGGAGTGTGCGGAAAAGGACAGGCAGAGTCCAGCAGGGACTGGGTGAAGCAGGTGTTCAGTGGCTGAATGTCGAGGTCCACCTAAGAGCGTCTGAATGTCTTATGAGGATTCCAGGCAAGATAAGGTTCAGGCTCAATTCTAAGGCAAGAAGCTGTGGGACAGGTTTTGAGCAAATAACTTGTTTGGGTTCTCCCCTAACTCGTCAAACTCCTCTTTCTTTCCTCCTCACCGACCAGAGCCCACCCCAAGTGTCGTCTGAGCACACCTCCCTGGACCTCCCTGTGGCCCCCTTCCCCCTTCCCTTACCACAGACTCTACCAAGAGGGTCTTCAAAGACAATGACCCGCATGCAGAATTCAGGCCGCGCTTTCTACTCTCTACCCCGTCAACTCTCACGTTTCCACCAAAATTTATCTCATCTAACAGTTTTGCCAGGAAAGTAACTTGATTACTGATGACTTCATGAAACTCATTTACATGCTGAAGAAAGTACTTGTTCACCTCAAAGGCCATGGGCATGAAAAAGTGAATTTTACCAAAGATATTTTAGACCTTTACTTGTAGAGCATCTCAAATTACACAGAGATGATAACTATTGCTGTTCATGTGTTTATATTAAGTAGATGCTAGGGACAGGTTCATATTTTATTATCAGAGTGACACAGGAGTGTAAAGTCTTAGCCACTGTGTTATACCTCAGCATGCTAATGGAGAGCTTAGGTTTGAAGAACTACCTGCAGAGTGGCCTGCTTGGTAAATGGCGGAATTTGAGAGGACGTGGCAAAACAGCAGAGGAATTGCTTCCAAATTGTTGAGTCTGACTGAGGCCCTTTTGTGCATTGAGCAAAGGGGACAGGTACACAGGCTGCCCCTTTGTTTTGTTGAAAATATTCCCCGTCGTTTCTATAGCCCGTTTGAAATGTGCTCTATTCATAAAGGTTTCTCCTTGAATTCATACAAAGATCTAAAAACCTGGGGACTAAAAGCAGATCTCACCAGCCAAAGTAGATGAAGGAACATTTTTTAATGTCTTGACTTAGTACCATGAGCAAAGGTCTGAGAAAAGTCGTTGTCAGGATTGGGTGTGCTCACCCCTCTGACTTTCTTTCTCACACGTGTCTGCAGTGCTTTCCTGAGTACCTTTGCAAGTTGTAATGGACTTGGATGGCGTTCTCAGGAAGAGCCACCATCCTCACCGTGCATTGCCTCTTAATCTAAGCCACGTTTGTAAAAGGACCCCATGTCACGACAAAGAAATTGCATGTAATGACAAAGGTCCTTTCTTACCTCTGTCATTAATTGCCGGGCAAAATAGTTTGAAACTGGTGTAGAAGAGGGACCTTAGATTTAGCATTTACTTTTGAGTTTTATATCCCATGATTTTGTAATTGCAGTGATCATATTTCCATTTTTATTTTTAAAGAAAGGAATTTTGCAATCAATGAAATAGCCACCATCAGTTTCAGGAGAGCAGGGAACACAGCATGTGAGAAGAAATACAGAAGTAGGAGCACTGAAAATACTTTTTCATCATGGAATCGATGGGGACAAGATGATTAGGAAAGCATGAAGGCAATTTTAAAGCCCGGCCTCAATTCTGAGAAAAACAAATGTTAAATATAGAATGTCCAGTCAATCAGTAAGCCTTATCTTCTGTTACTTAATGGCAAACAATTGGAAAAGTGCTCAAGTTAACACAGCATATGAAAGAAGAGATTAATAAATAAACATCTGTGTCGTCTAGCCATTTTGACAAAAGGGCCGCTGTAAACGCCTTAGCTCATGGTGTCAGCTGAGAGATGGTTACTATTAAATAAGATTAGTTTGGTTATGATCTATCATTTAGCTTGAAAACAGTTGTCTTTTTGGAAATGCATCATTTACGTGGTGGGAGAAGCAAAGGATAGATGAATAAAAGTATGCATTCAAACAGAATCTGAAAGCGTTTCTCTGGATAAGTTGAAATGAATGATCGTGATAATAACCCACTGCAGAGGACGTGACGGGTTGGGGGTAGAATTCTCACAGCTGTTAACTTGGATCCCTGAAATTGTTCCGTTATTCAGAAGTAATTTTTCTACATACTCACATTTGCTCACTTGTAGCTTGCATTAGTGAAGTTTCATTCACCAGTTAGCATACTGTTGAAGGTATATTAAAAATGGCTTGTTTATAACAGTTGTTGGCACTCCCGGAATTCACAGGGACGCCGACCAAACGCCACTGCAAATAAAAACCTTTCCTTTTTCTTTTGGTGGCAGGAAAGAGCAGAGTCACACAGTAGCTCTTGATTTATGAATCGAATGGTGCTTTCTCATTCTCAGACTCCCACGATGCGTACAGTTCCCTTTAAGGAACTGGGTTAGAAGGAAGCCTTTACCAAGAAAATAACCCTACCTCCAAATCTCCTTCTTAATTTGCAATCATGTGGGCCTTTGATTATAACTGTCCCGCTCTCATGCCTTGAATGATCATGTGAGAGGGAGTGGAAACTGACGACCGTGAATAGCTTCTTGTTTGTAAAGTGTCCTTCAATGGCAAGTCAGACAGGAACCTACAACGAATCACATATATTCTGGGCAAAATCTGTGGGAGTATTTTACCTTCAACATTCCAATAAGCATCTTGTCAGCCTTGGGTCCCATCCTGAAAGTATACAATTGTCTCCCGGAAACACGGCTGAAGTGGTGACCAAAGAGAGGCTGTAACTCTTCAAAGCAGATCCGGGGGACGGCTGGGTGAAGTGGCCAGGGCGGGCGGACAGACAGGGAGAAACGCGGACACGCCGTACAGGACATTTTGGCTGTAACCAGTGTCCATCCTAACTGTGGTCCACCAAACAAAGTGTTTAGTGTAAAGAGGGCCCGATCCCTGGAGAAGCAGAAAAATGATTCCTGTTGACTGGTGGGAAATTAACTCATTCCTCCCTTTTCCTAGCAGAGAAGGCGCTGGATAAGTACTTGGTGATTAATTGTCTTGGTTGGTTTCGAGGGGTGTCTCCATGTCCGGAACGGTATTTACACCCACGGAATGTTCTGTGCTGCCGAGTGGCAGGATCCTCTAATCCAGAGCCTTGCCTCCCCCTTCCACGCCCCTCCTGCACCTGGCACAGGTAGATGATGTGGAAAACATATTCTAGTAATTACTAAACTGTTAACATTGGGCCCCAGTGACTCCTTTTTTGGCAGAAAAGTAACTAAGGACCATTTAATACTGAAAGTTTGAAACTTACTTTGAGATTTGAGCTGGAAAACTATTGGTCTATATCAAGGATGCTAAAAGCAATAATAAGAGTATGTATCAATATAAGTTGATCTTTTAAAGACTGAATGGATTTGGAGGGAGGAAAATGATTGTGCCCAGTCATAGCTGTGAAACTGTCAGCAATACAGTGAAGAGCTGGTGAGAAGAGTCCAATTGCAGCATTCTCCCTTTAAGAGGGAAGCAAGATTAGCAGCAACCTTGGCAAATTTTCGGCTTCTTTTCAGAGGGAAAGAGAAAAGCTTCCAGTGTCCAAAAAAAAAAAAGAAAAAGAAAAGGAAAAGAAAGAAAGAAAAAAGAAAAAAGGATGGATGTTTTGAAACAAAGGCAGAAGCAATCTTATACTTTATTGAAAGCTTACCTGGGAGTGGTTTTAACTCCTCTGGGGTTAAGAAAGATTTTTTTCCTCTCAAGACCGAAGGTGGAGCTAGGGTAAAGGAATTGGATCTGAAATAGCATCCCTGTCAGTTCTGTTCTGAAAAGTACACAGGGAGGAAAAATCTCCGTGGAAGAGAGAGGAGGCCACAGGTGCAGAAGGCGAGGGACCGTCTATGATACAACCTGTATGTAAGTTACATTGTAACAGGAACGTAGAAACCCTTAACTGCCTCTTTTTTCTAAGGAAAACCATCTGACTTAGAAAGCCTCTAAGACGGCTAGACAAATACCTGAGTTCTATTTTGCCTTTTTACCTTACAGATTATTTTGTTTTCTAAATGCCCTCAGGCCAGAAGAGTCTACGAAATGAAGACAATTTTTTTTTTTTTTTATGTCAGGTCAGAAGAGGTAGTGAGGACTCATTTGGGATAATCATAGTGTTTACTGAAGCCTTATGCATGTATAAAAATGTTATTTTCTCTAATCGCATATTTTGTTCCTGTAATGACTGAGTTGAATTCTAAACTGAACTGAGTAATCAATACTTAATGCCTCTGTCGGGCAAATCAAGTCGTAGCTGTTTCAGATGGCAGCAGATTGCTTCCAGTGGGGCACGTGGCTCTAGAGATGGAAATTAAAAGCAAGTGTGTCGAATTTTCTGTTTTTCAGGTTTGAAGTGAAAACTCACAAACAGCAGTCAGTACCCCTAGAACAGTCGCCGCCCCAGGAGCCACCCGGATGCCCGAAGGGCAGTAGAAAGCATGAGCTTCTACGGCAGCAGCTACCCGATCGTGAACGTGGACCCCAAATACCCAGGCTACCCCCAGGAGCACGTTCTAGCCGAGAAGCGAAGAGCCAGGAGGCGTCTCCTGCATAAAGACGGCAGCTGTAACGTGTACTTCAAGCACATTTTTGGAGAATGGGGCAGCTACGTGGTGGACATCTTCACCACCCTCGTGGACACCAAGTGGCGTCACATGTTCGTGATATTCTCGTTGTCTTACATTCTCTCCTGGTTGATATTTGGCTCTATCTTCTGGCTCATAGCCTTCCATCACGGAGACCTGTTGAACGATCCCGACATCACGCCTTGTGTGGACAACGTCCATTCCTTCACGGGGGCGTTTCTATTCTCCCTGGAGACCCAGACCACCATCGGGTACGGTTCCCGCTGTGTCACCGAGGAATGTTCTGCGGCCGTGCTCATGGTGATCCTTCAGTCCATCTTAAGCAGCATCATAAACACCTTCATCATTGGGGCTGCCTTGGCCAAAATGGCGACCGCCAGGAAGAGAGCCCAGACCATCCGGTTCAGCTACTTCGCCCTCATCGGCATGAGAGACGGGAAACTTTGCCTCATGTGGCGCATCGGTGAATTCCGCCCCAACCACGTGGTAGAAGGCACGGTCAGGGCCCAGCTTCTCCGCTACACGGAAGACAGCGACGGGCGGATGACGATGGCATTTAAGGACCTAAAGTTAGTCAATGACCAGATCATCCTTGTTACACCAGTAACGATCGTTCATGAAATCGACCACGAGAGCCCTCTGTATGCCCTTGACCGAAAAGCCGTGGCCAAAGATAACTTCGAGATTTTGGTGACGTTTATCTATACTGGCGACTCTACCGGGACTTCTCACCAATCCAGGAGTTCCTACGTTCCCCGAGAAATTCTCTGGGGCCATAGGTTTAATGATGTCTTGGAAGTGAAGAGAAAGTATTACAAAGTGAACTGCTTACAGTTCGAGGGCAGCGTGGAAGTCTATGCTCCCTTTTGCAGCGCCAAGCAACTGGACTGGAAGGACCAGCAGATCCACAACATGGGAAAAGGCCCGCCAGCCCAAGGACCCGGCACATCAGACACCAATGTCAGAAGAAGGTCATTTAGCGCCGTTGCCATCGTCAGCAGCTGTGAAAACCCAGAGGAGACCACCACGTCTGGCACGGATCAGTGTAAGGAAGCGCCTTATCAGAAAGCTCTCCTGACTTTGAATCGGATCTCTGTAGAATCCCAAATGTAGTCCTGAGTTGTAAGTACGAGGGCTCCCAGTCAATGTTTTTACCCCCTAGCCCATCGCCTTAAGGCAAGTAGTTATCAACAGAGCTTTTAAAGAAGGTGATAGCTGTCTTTGATGGTGAAGGAAGATAAACAGAGCAGGTTAAACTTGATAAAAGATATCTAAGCATTACATCGCATCCAACTGTTTAACTTTTTTTTTTTTGGCTAGCAAATTTTGTGTTAGGGGTGCTATTAAGAGGCCTAATTGATTAATTTAAATTTCATCTCCTTTTGTTATTCCGTATACTTGTATTGTCAGTTGGAGGTATAATATTCAATAATGGGGAACAAAGGTAGGACACTGGGATAATAGAAAGTAGAAAGGAGAATAGCATGAATAATAAAAATTTTAAATGGATCCAAATCGGTAGTATGAGTTACCTATAAAGACATTATATCATATAATCAAGATGTGCAAGGGATGCGTTCGGTAGATTGTAACGTTGAGCTGTTTAACTGTGAAATCAGTCCCTGTGTTTGCCCCTCAGAGTGTCTCAGTATCAGCTGGCAGAGGCAGTGGCCGTAGGAAGTAACAATGCCCCCGGTTCTGACGGTGAATCCCCTGCCACTTGCCAGGTAATGATCAAGCAGTGCTAGAAGCTACTTTTTCTCTCATCCGTGAGGCAGAAGAAAAGTTGGCGTTATTACTCAGAGAGGTATTTCTCTCTTAAATGCTCTGTTTGACTCCAACAAATGGCTGGGGGGGGGGGGGCAGAAATAAGGCAAACAGGAGCTTTGTAAAGTGTGTGACAAGGGGACTGCTTATGTCCACCTCCCCACACCTTCTTTGAGGAAGGACAAGAAGAAGGATCGGGACCCTAGAGATAGGGTGAGGGAATGGAGAGCCGTAAACATCCTCAGACTCTTTGAGAGAAAACGTGTTCCTGGGTCCTGGAAGACTGGAGCTCTGGCTACACAAGGGATGGAACCCTGGTTTTTTTTTTTTTTTTTTTTTAGCAGTTACGGTGGGGTTAGGAGGTGGGGAGGCTGTGAGGGGAAAAGTATTTATTTGTGCCGAGAAGCAATTATGTAAGTTTCCCATATGGGTCACTTTAGAAAACACAAATAACTTGAATTGTGAATTTTAAGAAACGCTTCCATTGAACGTGGAACAATCATTTAAATGCAGGATTTTGTGAATATAATTAAGGTGATTTTAATGCACATTATGAAGTGGGTCAGCTAAGTGCTTTAGAATTGCTTAAATTGTAGGACAGGAGATAACTGTGTGTACTCTATTTCCACCTTAAAAGATGTTAATCATGATTACTTTAAACACAAATCCAATCACCTGCGAGTGAAGAGGCACTCACTCTAAGCTTTATCAGTTGAAGACTTACGAGCTATATTCCGAATTATCTGTGTTATTTTTTACATTCTTGCTGAGCTGGTAATAAGTATATGCCATAGGTTTTCACGTGTTTATTTTATTTAAATATATATATACACACACACAGTTTTTGCTTTTTTCTGGAAAATCTCTCTCTCTCTCTCTCTCCTCATTTAAATTAAAGCACACAAGTAAATTTTACTGAATCGCAGTCCAAGATTACCAATAGAAGTAAAATGTATAGGTATATAAAGTTTTTCTTTTGTTTGCCTTCTTTTTTCTCCTTTTTCCTTCCTCCCTCCCTGCTTTCCTTCTTTCCTTTTCCTCCTCCTTTCTTTTGCCTGTGAGCAATAGTTATTTTATGATGCACAAGTGCAAAGCTTGTGTTCCTGTTGTTGTATGGATAAGAGATCTGTTCAGGTCACAGGTTGCAAAATCGTCCTGAAACTTAACATCAGAGTGCTAAATAATGCGTTTCTTTTTTCCAGTCTTGTTTCAGGAACGCAAAACCCATGTTTTTAAAACTGCACATGCCCTGTAGATTCGGATTTTGGAGCAGCAATTACTCAGCTAAATTAGAATATTACAATCTACCAAGTAGAAAACAGCCAACACTACAACAAACAAACTTGCCCCCTTTTTTGGCATGTTTCACACCCGTCTAGTTTCATTCACTTTCCTTCCTGGACTCTGCTCCTTCGCGATCTTGCTTTGTTAGTATCCGGATAGAGGTGTCACTGTCCAGTAAACACACTCTGTCGGGCTTCGTGCCTCTTCCATCAAATTCTCTTACCCAGAATAGAATGTACAATCAGCAACCCCATGTAATATTTATCTCCCATTTTCTGTTTAGATTGATAACACACTTTGACACCCCAATGAGTTACATAATAATAAAGATCTTAAAATTGTGCAAAAAGTGTGTGCCTATGCTAGTGGAAATTCTGTGGCTGTGGTCAGCAGGGGGGACAGGGCACCCAAACCGAGATTGCTGTTTCATAGAGTTAGGATGTGGGCAGAATTAGAAACCATTTTTTATTCGTTTCTAACAGCTTGCAGAACAGCTCTATTCAAATGAACAATTAAGTGCTCCTGTAAGCATTGCTAGAAACCTCCCTGCAAAATAGCATTTCTAGTTGGAAGTGCTCTGTCGATGATGAGAATATTTTTTCTTCTGGCATTCGTCTCCCCCTAAAAAAGACATTATTCCGTAGACCCAATTAGAAAATAAATCGTGAAGTCAAGGCGCTGCTCCACCGTGTTTTATAGCCCGGGAGGAGGGAACACAGGAAGAGAGAAGGAAACGCTGTTTCCATGGACCACCAGCTCATCAAGTACCCTTAGGGGCTTTGCACAGATACACTTAATCCCCACACAGAAGACAAAGGGGTGGATATTTTTAATTTCCACGTCATCAAATATCTCATTCTTAACTTCATCCTGACTGACACATTCCCAACTGGGATAATAAAGTGCCCAGGTTAAAAAAAAATTCCAACTGTGTTTCCCAGTCTCCCTTGCAGCCGAGGGTGGAGTGGAGGGTATGCTTCTGTGACATAGTTCTGACCCACAAGGTGCCAGCAGAACTCTCTGGATGTGACTTCTAAGAAGGCTCTTTGGCTGCGGCTGACTTAGCGGTCAAAGGCCCTCTTACCTTCATGCATTCGTCCTCTTCCTCACCTGGGCCTCAGACTTGGCGGCTGGCGCTCCTGAAGCCCTTCTCTTAAGAGTGAGAATCAGGGATGCTCCTGACGAGGGAAACTGGACGAGTAAGAAAGAGCGCAGCGCTTCCCTGGTGGCGCTGCGGTTGAGAGTCCGCCTGCCGATGCAGGGGTTCGAGCCTCGGTCCGGGAGGATCCCACATGCCGCGGAGCGGCTGGGCCCGTGAGCCATGGCCGCTGAGCCTGCGTGTCCGGAGCCTGTGCTCCGCAACGGGAGAGGCCACAACAGTGAGAGGCCCGCGTACCGCAAAAAAAAAAAGAAAAAAAGAGCGCAAGCCGAAATTGCACATCTGCAGACTTCTGCAGGGGTGACAATAAATACGATTCCAAACTGACAGAGTGAGCCGTAGATCTAGAGGGAATTAACCAGGAAACAGAGGCTGGGAAGGAAAAAGAGGATGTACCAGTTATGTCCAACCTGAACTTGTAGATGCCATTTCACGGAGCGGGTCTCTGTGGAAACCACATATTTTCTGGGAGAGTTGAGGAAATACCGCTATGATTGTAAAACAAATACAAAAGAATTACTTTAGGCCTGGAAATCCCTCTGAGACAGTGAGGGCCGAGTGACCTTGATAAGATAACGGGCCAGGCCTGCTGTCGGGCTGCCCTTAACCTTCTTCCATCCCTCCTGCAGAATTACATTCTGTGTTTTAATGGTGACCTGAAATCTCTGCAGACTCAGGCCGGCAAGCACCGTACAGCTTGGGCAGGAAAGCAGAACTCTACCGAGGCTGTGTTTAAGAACCCCCGGCGAGATCAGACTGCATGAGTTCATCCACGTGGACTCTGAATATATAATATACCAAGGAACCCAGACCCTGACTTTAAATAGTCGTACTTCGTTCCGTCTGAGTTGGCCAGGGTACGTGAGGCAGATTCTCTGGACCACTCTCCTTTAAATGATTGGGCGCTCATTCTACTCGGTTTAAAATACTCCATTAGTTCCATCCATTATAAGCATTGATTCTTCCATTCTGAATATGCTGTGAGACACTATAAGCCCCTGAGTTGTTTTGTTTTTTTTTAAGGTAAGCTTTGCCTTTGGACTTCTAGAAACATCCTTTACACCCTTGGCACTCTCTAAATCACAAAGCCCTGCCCCACTTCTAAGTTTGCTGCAGCCAATCTCTCACTCTCTAACTTTCACTTTTAAAAGCACTATGACCCGTGCTCTGGAGAAGAAACTTGTGCACCACACGCAGAATGCAAGGAGGAATAACACAGACAAAGCAGCAGGGAGGCACTTGGCAAACTCTCTGCAAAGGCTGTCTTGGGTGGGAGGGCTTTAAAAATGAAAGCTAGTAACAGACGCAGTTTGAATCCATCTGTGGGCAGAGAGCAAGCAAGGCCTCCTACAGGGACGTTTTCCTGAAGAGGCAAAAGCCTACTGTTGCCTGGACACCGCGATTCCTCCGCATTGCTTTGGAGCTTTTCTTCAGTAAGAAAAACCTTACGTCCAAGTGAATTCCCAAGTTCCTCTTTCACGGCTCTTAGTTTACTAAAGCAACTTCACACAAGCCTCTGACGACCGTGTGGTTGGGTCATGAGATTTGGCCAGGGGCAAGCAGCCTGTTGCTTCATCAGGTCACCCTGTGCTCCTTTCCTCGGGAAATATCCAGGCCTGTGGTTTGGGAGCTTTTGTGCAGAGTTTGGAGACTTAGGTCAACATGGCTGAACGTTTCAAAGTTCAGTAGACTCTGAGCTGCTGAGCACCTAGCAGGGAACGTTTAAAATAAACGCTTGCCTTTTGCTGTTTGGTCTCATTGATTTATTCTATTTTGTAAGTACTACAGAGGAAAAGAATACTGGATCTCGAGTCTGTCTGTCATCCCAAGAAAAAGCTACTGGGCTGAGATCGAGAGGCTTCTAGATAATGAAGGTAACCTGAGCTGGGTCATCACTGGTGTCAGGTTCTCCATGAAAACTCTGGAGACTCCACAGGCCGCCAAGAGAGGCAGGTTAATCATTTTCAGTTTTCAGCAGGCCCGGTGGATGAAAACCCAAACAGATACTAAGTCTTGCTAAATTACATAGCCAAAGAATGCTTTTTCTCTGTTTTGTCATTTACCACTGGGCTTATAAAACCTTCTTAATCACTATCTAAGTAACGTGAACTTGAGACAGAAAACCCCCAAGAGGTTTGGACCCTGTGAAAACTTCTTTACAGCAAGTTATCAGAAACCTTCAAATTTCCACATAAAATACTTCTGTCACGTGCGCTGCACACTGTGGTTAAAGGCTCTTTATTTGAATTGGAAGCACATGTTGGAGATCAGTTATTTATCGTGCCTTGTGTGCCTGTTGGTTCTATCTGATAGCAGCTTGCCTGGGGAGGGAGGCTGGCCGCGGGGCTGGATTCAGGCGGAGAGGCCGCGTCTGCCAGCCGCTGACACTTCCAGATGCAAAGATTCTTAAGACACCGGGGGTCATCAGCGCATCTAGTCAGAATCCACTTTACATAGGAGGAAAAATGATCTGCCCAATGAGACAAGGCCTCGGAGAGGCAGCCGCGGAAGAAATCACTACGACCAATGACCGGGGCTCTCTGGGATCCCCAGAGGCGATAATTGGTCCTGATGTGCTGCTGGAGATCAGTTTTCTTCTGTAATCGTCAAATGGGAAAAGTGACCCCTTGAAGACCCTCTGTTAAATAGAAGCCCGTTATTTTCTAGAAGTGCTCCTGAGCAGAACTGTTGGTTGGCCATTGATTTTTTTAGAGAGGCTGGAATGTGGGCAAGGGGGAAAAAAGTGTGGGAAACAGCTGATAAGAGCAACGATGAATGCCGATAATCTTTTCTAGAATGTAAACAAAGTGGTTGAATTTTAAAAGTCTCACCCGTTTCCAGGGCAATGCTAGTGCACAGTGGGGCACAGCCCCGAGCGTGGACCAGCCACCAAGCCTGTCACCTTGGAAGCAGGAGCACTGAGTCTTCCTGCAGGGCCAGCCTCAGGGGTAAGGACACACGGTGAGCAGTGGGGGGTTTTCTTCCAGTGAATGGATGTGCTCCATTTTTTGAGGCAAGCCCTAAAAGGAAAGGAGGCCAACCTGAGACAGACCCAGACACCTGGGCTGACAACGTTTGCTCTTTTTAGTAGTTGTACAACCTGGAGCAACTTAGCTGGAGGTTCTGATTCCTGCTTTCCTTATCTAGAGTTTTTCTTGCTGATTTAAGCTGAGATTGAGCGCAGGCTTACGGACCAGACTGCCTAGGTTTGGATTCTCTGTTTTCTTCCCGCATGACTTTGGGCAATTTTCTTAACTTCTCTGTGCCCCAGTTTTCTCAGCTGTGAGGAGAGGAAACTCATCGTACCCACCTTACAGTTGCTGTAAGGATTAAGCGAGATAATGTTTGTAAAGTGCTTAGAACAGTAGCTGGCACAGTACGAATGCTAATAATTGTGAGCTATTATTATTATCTCCAGCAGCAGATTCTTAGGTTCTTTTAGTGTTTTGTCAATTAATATACATTCCTTAACTTTTTTTTTTTTTTTTTTTTTTTTTTTTGTTTTCGGGCCTCTCGCTGTTTTTGCCTCTCCCGTTGCAGAGCACAGGCTCCGGACGCGCAGG